GGGGGGGGGGGGGGGGGGGGGGGGGGGGGGAGGTAGGATTGGCAGTAGTTGTAATCTGCCTGGGGAAGGGGGGACATACCTCATCAACAAGGGTATCTGCATAATGAATATTTCTATACCTAACCCTGAATTGTACCCCACAATTTAAAATAAAAAATTTAAAAGTAAAAAAAAAAAATCAGGACAACAACAAGCTTACAGTCCATGAAGACATCAGATATCATTAACCTAAAGACAAGAGTGATAAATTTAAATTAGGCCAGCAAAGTATGCCCAAGTAGGAATAACTAAGAAATAAACTGATTTACTCAACCCTTCCGGCTACATACACCAAAAAAATAGATCCTGACATTCTCCTGATTTAAACCTACTAAAACGGCTAGGAGCAGGAGTTCAAGTCTGTAATCCCAGCACTTTGGGAGGCCAAGGTGAGGGGATTGCCAGAGCCCACGGGTTTGAGCACAGCCTGGGCAACTTGGCAAGAACTGTCTCTACATAAATCAAAAAACTAGCTGGAACTAGTTCCAGCTACCTGGAAGGCTGAGGCGGAAGAATTGTCTGAGTCCAGCAAGTTGAGGCTACAGTGGCCATGAGCGTACTGCTGCACTCCAGCCTGGGTGACAGAGTGAGACTCCAACTCAAAAAACAAATAAATACTAAATAAATAAATAAAATCTCCTTATACTACCCCTTCATGTCACTAATCTCACCTCCTATTACTCTACCCCTTTTGGCTCCTGGCACACAGACCTTTTGGCTCTTGCAATGTGTTCTGCTCATTCCTGCCCCAGGGTATTGCATTTACTGTTCTTTTAAACTGAACACTCAAGAAATAAAACAAAACAAAAAAAATGATAAACTGAACACTCTTTCCCCAGACTCTTCAACCGGGTTTCTGCTCAATTTCATCCTTCAGAAAGACCTTCCATCTTTCTTATTCTTCAATTTTTTTGTTGTTGTTGAGCCAGGGTGTTACACTGTCACCCAAGCTGGAGTGCAATTGTGCGATCAAGGCTCACTGTAGCCTCTAGACTGATGAGTACTCCTGTGACTAGGGCACACGCAACCATGCCTGGCTAATTTTTTTTTTACTTTATATAGAGACCAGGTCTTGCTATGTTGCCTAGAATGGTCTCAGATTCCTGGGCTCCAGCAATCCTGGTTTGGCCTCCCAAAGTGCTGGGTACAAGAGTAAGCCACTGTGCCCAGACTTCAATTTTCATTACAGCATTTAACAACACCTGAATTTGAATGTTTGTTAGCTTGTTTATTATGTGTCTCTCTCAATGGAATGCAAGCACTACAAGGACTAGGACTTTAATGCACCCAGAACAGAGTTCAACACATAGTAGGTGCTGAATAAACATTTACGGGAAAAAAAAGGTGAATGAGCAATAACATCTACAAATACTTATTACTATTCATTATGCATGAAGACAACTTGAAAAATAAAACCCATAGAGACAGTGTCTCACTTTCTTGCCTAAGCTGGAGTACTGTGGCTAACTGCAGTCTCAACCTTCTCAAGCAATGTGATAAATATTATGAAAAGTTTGCTTCAGCTTATTTCCTTTGTAAAGGTCACAGAATTATAAAGCTTCAATTTGTAATACCTTCTTTATAACAGATGGATTAATGGCTTATTTAATAAATTTACTGTTCACTACAGAGCTAACTACATATGCATGGTTAATTCACACTGACTTAACATCACCATGAACCTAGTAACTCAACTTTTTGCTTCTGCAGTTCTAAATGATCAGACTTTAAGCCTGCCATACCTGTTTCCTGACGGGGATCTTATCTAGCTGGTTCACTGCTGCATACTTGGTGCCTCAACATACTAGGCATAGAATAGATACTCAACAAATATTTGTTAAATGAAGCTAGGTGCAGTGGCTCACGTCTGAAATCCCAACACTTTGGGAGGTGGAGACGAGAGGATTGCCTGAGCCCAGGAGTCCAAGACCAGCCTGGGCAACTTGGTGTGATCTCGTTTCTACTATAAATCAAAAAATTAGCTGGGTGTGGTGGTGTTGGCTATAGTTTCAGTTACTTGGAAGGCTGAGGCAGAAGGATCGCCTTAGCCCAGGAGGTCGAGGTCGTGGTGGCTGTAAGGGTGCCGCTGCACTCCAGCTGGGGAACAGAGTGAGTCTCCAACTTAAAAAAAAAAGATACAAATATTTGTTAAATAAAAGAAT